GATGTAGTTATATATAGTACTATCTCCACACACACACACACACACACACACACACACACACACACACACACACACACACACACACACAGAGGTTATACAGTCCCAAGCTTTTCTCTGGGCTTGTATCCCTGTTGTCTTTTATGATGGAAGGGGGGGAATAAGCGAGAGGGAAAAAAATAATATGCAAATCTAATGCTAATGCAATCTTTGATAGGATTAATAAGGAAAGACAAGTGGGTGGAGGGGGAAGAAAAACAAACAACAAGAGACGCAGAGGCAAAGGCAAGCAAGGTTTTTCGAGTCAGAAGCCGAAGTTCTCGAGTCGCGCTTGATAAAAGACATTTCAAGTGCTGATGGACAGGGCGAGCGGGTGAAGGTGACATATTAACTAACCGTTGATGATTGGAGGACTGTCGTGCACTTTGCTTTGGAGTCAGCCAATCCTCCGTTCAGCCTTTCCAGTTGTTCCAGAATGCTGCTCCTCGCCTCTTGACTGGAACTCGTAAGAGGGAGCACAGAACTCCTACTCTGGCATCCCTGCCTTATCTCCGAAAGGCAACTTCAACCTGGCTCGCTCGTGAGCATCCCTGCCTTTCGGAGATGAGGAATCATCTCCGAAAGGCAACTTCAACCTGGCTCGCTCGTGACACATACGACAAGTACGTCCCGCAGACACTCCGGATGCCGTTTGTCCGGTCAGTGAGCGCGCGAGCTCATATAGCCGTGAGGATTATTCACCTTGTCGGCCGAGATGGAAGCAGATGACGACGTGCCCCTTTGAAAGTCAAACGTCTGCCGTCTCGTTTCAGGAGTGGTTTTGTCTCTATTAGCATGACGAGAGCCTCTCAGCCACTGTCAAAAATGCGGCCAATAAAACAAATCATCAGGTCTAATGTGCTTGTAAAATCCCTAATGCTCATCAAGGGTGCTTTTTAGGAGCGATAAACATGTCTGAGAAGGCACATTTGTTTTGCAAAATCATCCATATCAAGATCCGAGCCAGGGTTCCCGTTTCGGGAGTGCCACTCAGAGGGGAAAGAACCAACATCGTCGGGTTGAAGGTTGGCTTACCGCCATTCAGGTGACTTCTTCTGATGGGACGGTCACTCCAGAAGACTTTGGGAAGACTCAGGAGCAACATCACGGGTGAGACGGACGGCGAATTTGGCTTGGACTGCTAATTGCAGCGGACACGTCAGAGAACCAAAGAAAAACAATTTAGTGATCAGCCGCTGCTGCGAGCCAGCCAGCCAGCCAGAATCAAACGCTTTCATGATAATAATCTCTCGCATTGAAGCTTTTTTTTTCCACAAGTCTTACAGCGACTTTTTTTTTTTTTTTTGCTTGGCGACAGCGTAAGCCTGCGTTCGAATCTTTGCCATCCATCTCTCGGTCAGCAAGTGGAGAACAAGATTTCATATAGACAAAGAGACCAACTCGGAAAGCAGCATATTGAGACTTGACAAAAAAGACAATTCGACAAAAACACGCACTCGGGGAGCGACGTTATTAAGATTGAATGAAGGTGCACTCGGGGAGCAGTGTTGTAAAAATGTACACTCGGGCCTAGCACCTGACTGAGATTTGACAAAAGGTGCGCTCGGGTAGCACCCAATTAAAAATGGGACGCTCTTGGAGCAGCATTTGAAGGCAACCAGACGAACATGTGCGCTCGGGTACAGCAGCTTTTTCGGGGGGAGGTTTCTCTTGTGATTCTAAATGTGTGGCATGTACCAGTTGATTCGCAGGAAAAACGGCAGATTATTAAGAGGAGAAGAGATGAGAAAACTCAAAGGGAACAAGATACTCAACGTGCACAGATGCACGCCGAAGACCAAAGAGCATCCGAGTGCGAGGAATCATCTCCGAAAGGCAAGAAACGGTTGTTATGGTGACGGAGTTGTCTCCTTGCATGCTCACGTTCATTCATCAGGAGAAAAAGTTACACGCACATGCACGCACGGGGACGGAAATAGAAGTCAGATTTTTTTTTTTTTTTTTTTTTTTAACAGGGAAGTCACGTCCAAGATTGCAGCAGGGGGACGCCGAGCTCAAAATAGCCCGGCGGTTTCTATTTAACGCCGGTCTGGTCTCCTCCTCTGGCTTGGCTATTTTTAGAGCGCGTGAGCGCCTGTCTACCACCTCGCCGCACGTGAGCACCCGCGCACGTGCGCTTCCGTTCTTGGCGTGACGGAACCAGCCAGCGAGACGGCAAGACGGACGTGGGAGGAGGCGGGGAGCATACTGACGATGCTGCTGGGAAGGAGCGCAAAAGTCTGACGGATGCACGAGTGCACCTTGAATTGGGATGTGCGGATGAAGGGTGGATTCCTTACGCTTGGCGTTTGCAACCCAGGTTACGGTTTGAAACATAGGTTCGAGTCTCAAAGTTGGGGAAGGCGCCCCTGGTCATTGTTAGACGAAGGTTGGGATTAAAGTGAGGGCTTCAAGTCATGGGTAGGGGTTTCAAACGCTGGTTAAGATTTCAAGTTCGGGTTTTAAGACTGGTTTAGGTTTTTTTAAACCATTATTAGTCTCTGACATTAGGGTTTTGAGTTCCTGGGTGGTAGGGTTTCAAATAACTGCTTCAAGGCTGGGTTCTGGTTTCAAACACTGGCTCAGGTTTCAAATTAGGATTTCGAGACTGGGTGAGTTAATTTTGTGAGATTTAGGATTTGTTTTTATATTATTTTAGTTCATTATGTCTGTGTGTTTGTGGGGTTGATTATCTATCACCATAACCTGGAATGTCATCCCCAATTGACTCAAGTCGTCCCATGAATAAAATGGCCTTGTTGTGTGTTGGTGACATTTCACACAAACGCATTCAACCCGCTTAGCAACATCGTCATGACACTGAAGAGATGATAACTCGCTCTAATTAGATGACCAGGAGAAAAAGAAGGGACACATGACGGTGCTGGCAACACAATCAAGTGACCAAGTCAGCAAGAAGGTTTGCTGCTATCTAGTGGCACACAGTAAAATAGCCATTGTTAGGAAAATGTCCCTCCCAATTATTGGGTCGCAGTGGGTCTCCTCGTGCATGTGTGGATGGTTTCTAAAGTGTGAGGGGTTTTTTTTTCAGCAAATTTTGCGTTTTTTGAGGGGGTACGGGTGTCATTTGAACAGCAGACATATTATGTGCTATTATCTGTGCCTAACCAAGAATGCGCAATTGCGCTGTCTAATTGGGTCGCAATGGGGCTCCTCGTGCATATGTGGATGGTTTCTAAAGTGTGAGGGTTTTTTTTTTCAGCAAATTTTGCGTTTTTTGAGGGGGTACGGGTGTCATTTGAACAACAGACATACCTGTATGTGTTACTGTATCATGTGTGCCTAACCAAAAATGCGCAATTGCGCAGTCTCGCCGACAGGTGGCAATGTTTTCCACCACATTTTACTATGAGTTTAGACGCTGAATTTGACCATTAAAAAAGGTGTTGACGTGCCGCCATTACCATAAAAATAAAATGGGGTTCTCACCTGTTTCGCACTCTAGATTCCGCGATCTTTAAGATTGTTATTTTTTTAAATGGGTCTCATTTTGAAAAATACAATTCAGAACATTTTGAACCCTAACACTCATTTAAAAGGCTACCCTGAACCCCGAGCCATAATTTAACACCTCACTTTAAAACCCCAACCCTCCTATGAAACCCTAATCACTTTTAAACTGCTACTTTGAAACCCTGACCCTAGTTTCAAACCTTATTTCGAAAAACCGCACAAGTGCAATTGATGGAAGTTTTCCCGAATTAATGCTCCTCAATCCCACCCTCTGCACGCCCCTGAGGAGGGGCCTTCAACATCTGATCACGACTCAGCATTTTTGTTCCTCTCATTCAAGTGACAGCAGGAGAGGATGCGAGTTAAAACCGTGCAAGTGAGACCAGAGTGACAAAAACATGACGAGGTACAACCGATGACATCTACATGAGAAGTTTCCTGAAGCTGCTCGTTACGTAAGCGCCGTACGGGTGTCATTTGAACAGCAGACATATTATGTGCTATTATCTGTGCCTAACCAAGAATGCGCAATTGCGCTGTCTCGCCGAGAGGTGGCAATGTTTTCCAGCACATTTTACTACTGTATGATTGAAGACGCTGGATTTGACCATAAAAAAGGTGTTGACGTGCCCCCATTACCATAAAAATAAAATGGGGTTCTCACTTGTTTCGCACTCTAAATTCCGCCATCTTTAAGATTGTTATTTTTTTTAAATGGGTCTCATTTTGAAAAACACAATTGAGAACATTTTGAACCCGAACCCTCATTTAAAAGGCTACCCTGAAACTCGAGCCATAATTTAACACCTCACTTTAAAACCCCCAACCCTCTTATGAAACCCTACTTTGAAACCCTGACCCTAGTTTCAAACCTTATTTCGAAAAACCGCACAAGTGCAATTGATGGAAGTTTTCCCGAATTGATGCTCCTCAATCCCACCTTCTGAACGCCCCTGAGGAGGGGCCTTCAACATCTGATCACGACTCAGCATTTTTGTTCCTCTCATTCAAGTGACAGCAGGAAAGGATGCGAGTTAAAACTGTGCAAGTGAG